AGACGGGGGAAGTCGAGTGGCGGGGGTCGGATTCGAACCACGGACCTTCCGGTCAGTAAATTCGCGCTCTAACCACTTGGGGCATCTCCCAGCCAGCTGAGATATTTTTTTCATCTTGAAGTTCGAAAGGGATACAAAATGCAAAAAGCATGTTGGGACATTCTAATCAGAATAGAATGGGCGGGCCCATGTTTGTTCAATGACAGAACAATATCGTCCGCATGTTCAAAGCCGTTTTCTTCGGGCACAGTTTCGACCCTAGATGTATTGTTCCCTGGAGTGTGCATTTCATGATAATATCAATGTTGAAGCTGATGAAAAAGACGGAGGTGGATAGCAATGTCGAACTCCACTAGCTGTGACAGAACTTTCATACAGTTCAATTTAAACTTTAATCCCATCTGAAGTGTTAGAACAGGCAGCGACGAGTATATATATATATATACATATATATATATATATATACATAGGGAAACAGAAAATAATCTCTGTTNGCGAGATGGCCCAAGCGGTTAGAGTGCGAAATTACCCACCGAAACGTCCGTGGTTCGAACCCGACCTCTGCCTCTCGACTTCCCCTGTCTAGGCTTAGGCAACTTGGCAGCATCCCAGCCCTCGTGCAACCTTCGGGTGGCATGGCAGTTAGGCGCCGAATGGGTGCTACAGCTGAACGATTCGGTGTCTAACTGCTACTCCTGGATATTGCCCACTTACCCAAGCCTAACCCGGAACAGTCGATGTGCAGAGGCCAAGCTCGATTTGTTCAGCTGTAACCCCATTTCGGTGTCTAACTGCTATGTCGAGATATTACTAACTTACCCAAGCCTAAACAGGAACACTCGATGTGCAGAGGCCAAGGTCGATTCAAGGACCTTCCGATCAATAAGTTTGCGCTCTTATCACTAAGATATCTCAAGTTCAGGATCACGAAATGAACCGAAGTCCTTGGTAACCTCAATAAAACCTTAAGCAACTGGGTGAAAGTCTCTGAAAGAGCGAATACGTCTAGAGGTGAATACAGAAAGATATCAGATAACATTAAGAAAATTATGATAAATATGAACTGACAGCGTGCTCCAAAATGAAGTCCCCCATGTACAGCAGAACAGTAATAAAGGTAGACAATCAGGCAGGTGCAACTCACAAACAACTGTTTTCCATCCATCTCGTCCGCCTGGTTGAGGACTTCCTGAGCAGCTGTCACATAGGGAATTAAGCTGCTCTTGGACAGGTTCAAGGCAGCTGCCACTTGGAATATCATTGCCATGCTGAAACAAGAGGTGCGCGAAAATGACACTGGCCAATGAGAAGGCAATTCGGTGAATCTGAGCCTGGAATTGTAGAGTCTTTGACGGCTCAACAGCCATGACATGAACTTACCAACCGGAAGATCCAGGGTTCAAATCAAACTTCCGGATTTCGACTTTTCCTGTCTAGACTTAGGCAACCTGGCATTACCTCACCCCTTGAGCTCCCCTCGGATAGCATGACAGCTAGACACCGAAAAGGCGTTACACTGAAGGAAAAAAACTTCTCAGAAGTGATAATATTTTCTTTCATTGGACTGGTCATGATGTTTGCTTGATACGAGGCAAGTCAGCCGTTGCAGTGAGCAGATATATTTTGAGCTTAATCCTTCCGCTGGTGTGTTTTTAGTAACCCCGTGTTTTTTGAGCGATGAATCATTCGTAGTATGTTATATAAACCTAACAACACCTTCAGCTACATCAGGATAAAAATCCATCGCTCGAGTAAAGTATATGTTGAAGCGCGCTCGGTAAAGCTCGGCAAAAAAAAACCTGTCGCGACCATGTTCAGTGTCTACACCGACGCTTCGCTAGGGTATAATCATAAAGTTTACTTGAAAAGCCGAGGGGCGAAAGGGGAGAGTTGACAAGGAAGGGACCCGATACTACAATCACACTGAAGAGCGTACACCTCAAAAGGCTCATAGAGTTTACCGATTGAAACCCATAGCTAGAATGTCGTTAACACTGACTGGCGACTCTCCCGAAAGTAGGAGTTACGAATAGTTCATTCTGGGGGGCGAACTGCAGCGCAAGGCCCCCTAACCTTTTCGTAGTCACGTCTACATCGTTTTACCAAGTCACTTTTTGTCCGCCTAGCAATGTACATCATTCTGAAGGAACGAAGAACAATGCACGATGTAGCAGTCGGTGATTTGGCAAGTGTAGTATGGATGCAACCACTGCGGTTTAATGTCGGATACTTTTCGTGCAGGAAGTACAAACTGTTTGGTAACTGGTCAGGGAGAGACTTATTTGTTCGTCGAGCTTGGCAATTGATTTGCAAACGCTTCGTCACCATTCGAGGAGACATCTTCAGTGCGCTGTTGGGTGGGTAGTCCCTCTCTCCGTCCTTGCGTCTATATAGTTTGCAAAGGGCACCTTTTGCACTGCAACCTGATTGGCCATTGATAATCACACTTGTATTCTGGTTGGCTCGGTCGTAATGTGTGTTGCGTTGCGGTCTGTTCAACAAGCGTGGTCACAAGAAACGATCTACAGAGTCGAATACGTCCCCCAAATCAAGAAACATCGAGTATGCATACTGGGCGCAGGAGGGTACTCTAACAAAGAAAGGTGTGAAGGTACGGTCACCGCAGCATATACCTACTTGAAATTCCGTTTGTTTCTTATGGGTGAATGTATCGCGTGCTACCATCAGGTAACAGAGAATCAGCGACGATCGAGCTCTGGTTACGACGGGAATCAGACTGACACCTCTGGGGTTCGCACGTTTACCAAGGTACTTGAAGACAGCAGGTGGAAGGCAATCCGGGCCACAAAATTGGTGAGGAGCGAGCTGATGCATTCATATACTTTGGAGGTCCGAACAACTTGGCGGCATCTCAGTTATCGTGTTTCTTTCGAGTCTCACGACAGCTATGAACTCAAAGGAGGCCTCACCTATTATTCTGAGATGAACGGAATCTCAGTATTCAGAGACCACAGTTGCGCTACCGTCCGACAGTCGAGGTTGACAGTAACAGATGGTCAACTGAGCTATTCCGTGAAATAGTTGGCCTACAAATCCAATCGTCCTTATTTGCCAGAGGTCTGGAAATCCATATAGTTTCTGGTGGCTGTAAGATATGGCTTCCAATCGATGTCAATGGCTTTTTTGTTGTCAGTTTCTATCGAGATTGCCTAAACGAGTGTTTGGAGGTGTAGGCACCCCGGGATGACTGTGGCATTAAGTCCCTTCCCTGTCCACTTTTATTCTTTTCTTTAAAACAGTGTTAAACTCTGATGTTATGCTGCCGATGATGCTGAGTGACTCAAATGACAAGGTTCTCGAGGGCCTGTTGCACAGATAAACGGAAACTAGTTGTGGGTAGTCCCTGTATCCCTCGCCTCATTCATTTGTTTGGCCTTCCGTACCCAAAAAGCTTCCAACCTTCACGTACATTTGATTATACCGGGCGTCTGATGATGCATCAAGTCGACCAGAAGGAATCTATTTCTGAGACGCCATTAGAGCCAAAGTTTGTGATCGTATATCGTATTATTGAATGAGATTGACTGAGTTGCACCGCAGTTGTAAGTTCACGCACTGCTTTCGAGATCCATTTTGAATAATACTCGAAATCTGGTAGCTGGCTATTGGGCGTCTATTTCACCGGTCCATTACAGAAGAACATTTGAAGAGACTTCTTCAAGGAGTTTGTAAAAATACGTGCCTCTTCGTCACCAGAGATATGCAACCAGAGACACGCACGGATTTATAAGGCGCTCAATTCACTGACGCTTTCGGTCTTGTTTCTCACAGACAGTATACGTACATGTACGGTGTAAATGGAATCAAACATACGAACAACACCTTTTGGCCCTGTTTATCTCACGGTTTGAACACCGAATGCAGATAACCCGACCGAAGTTCGGGGTCTGAGAATCGACTTCGGGATATCTGGGAGTGATACTATAGATCAGCGCAAACGAGTAGGCGCTAAGGGTGGTGTGAAGCAGAGAAGCCCACCAGTTTCAGTAAAAGGAATGGTGCCAGTGAGGTGTGGCGGATGAAGAAAATTTGATGAATGTAAAGTCGGTGTCGATAGCTTACTTTCCTCAATTGTTCATCCAGTTATCTACAATATGTAAGACGATCCGGCTAATGACCGATGTAATGTGAGGTGACTTGTGGTCTGAGCTACTGTCAGGGCACCTATTAGGCACGACCTATTAGGTTCATCAATCAAAGCCTTCTGTTCACAAGTCTGACCACAAGACAGCGGGCGGGTGCCAACACAGCATGAAGGCAGTGTACGTTTGAGGGAAAGATTGAATGCTGTGAATGCTTCAGTGGCGGAACAAGAACAAAGGGACTTTGCCTCGTCGGACCTAACAGAGCGGTTGCCCACATACTCTTTCCGGGAGGTATGTTAGCAGTTTATCAGTTAATTTGAGCAGTCCGGATTGAGCCCTCTCGCCTCATCGAAGACTGAATTCTCTCACTGATAGATTAAGGAGATAGGCAAATTTATCCCTTGCGCCCCTAAAAATGCGATTGAGTGAACGCTTTTCTCTGTTGTTGCGCTATTCCGGTGCGGAGACTTCCTCGGGTTAAATGCAACAGTAAGCGGGTTCGTTATCGAACTTCATTTAAGTACTTTTGCAACTATTCCCTACTAAAAATATAACCAACTGTTCGAGAAATGAGACAACGGCTCACTAAACTCCCCGGTGAGGCGCATGACTCAGTGGTAAGAACGTGAATTTAGTGACTGGAACCAGAACTATCCTATCTAGGCTTGGGCAGTAACCCAGCCCTCGTGCTTCCTAGGGATGGCTTGGCGACTAGGGACCGAAGGGGTGCTGCAGCCGAACGATCATTATCGTTATTATTCATATCTCAAAGATACCTAATAAAATCGGCCAGTTTTACTGCAATGACGATAAATCTCGCACCTATGGAAATGTCTACTAAGCCTGCAAAAACTCTTTACACTTCCTCGGTGGTGTGACACCCTAGCTCGAAAATTTGCGCTGCAGATCGACAGGAGGAAAATGCATTCACTAGCTGTATTGCCTAAAACCCATAAACAGCTTTGAAATGTCAAATCCGCGTAATAATGTTGATCAAAGCAGTTTGAATTTTGTGCTACAGAGATACACGGATGTTTAAGATCTGCTACACACTATTTGAAAGCAAACATCTGAAAGCCACCGATTCCCAACAAGCAAGCAACATCCTGGCTAGGTACGCTGCAAGATCTCGCTGGCGTTCGCGCCATCCGTTTCCATCAGGGTTGTCTGAGTGAACGTGTAGACCCTTCGGGTGTTTGTGGTGGAGTAGCGCCGAGTCGCTCACTCTTTTCATCAAAAGGCTTCATCTGAGACAATTGATGCTGGTAACATTAGTAGCAACCATTCAGCTGCGACACTTTCAGAGCACAGCTGCCATGCAACCTGAAAAAACGAGGGGCTGAAATAATGCCGGGTAACTAACCTCGATAAGGGCAGTGGAAATGCTAAGGTTGGGTGCGGAAAACGGAACTTCCAGTCCGCAGCTTCGCACCTCAATCACCGAGCTATTCCAGCTCACGAGTGTACGGAAACGAGCATCAGTGTTTCCACACTACTACTGCTGTTGTTTACACTTATGAGCACATCAGTATCGTAGCTCTGAACCGAACAAATCAGCCGTTCGAAGAAGAGTCAAGACAGCCGCTTTCCATCCATCAGACCGCAAAAGAAAATGACACCAAAGATACAACGATAGACAGGTGGAAGCTGGACGGCATACACGCAAACTTACGCGGTTGGATTGGACTTGTTCTTTGTTCTGGCCTTTTCGATGAAGCCCGCAACAGCTCCATGGTCATCTAGAGAATCGTAATCAAACATGAAGAACAAATACTACGTACAGTCCAGCTCGGCTTCCTTCATCGCCATCACCATGAAGAACAAGTCCTCCACAGCTGCATTGGCGTTTAAATGCTTTTTGGCCAGCTCCTTCAATTCATTCAGAGATATCTGACAAAAAAGAGTTGGCATGGTATTTTGAACGGAAGGAAACATAGACACATCTATTCCAGTCAAACTTGTGTATTAAATTCTACAGGTGTCAAAGATACCGGTATGGAAATGCGCTTTGAAATGATGTAGGTTAGTGAGCTATTCTGGGCATCCAGAGACCTTCTTAGAAGGTTGGCTAATGGATACAGGCCTCAGGTAAATTCAGTTTGTGCCCTTTCTTGGCTAATGGATATAGGCCTCGGGTAAATTCAGTCTGTGCCCTCTTACATGAACTTTAAGATAACTACACCAAACACCTGTAACACTCACTCCATACTATACCGCAGTAATTGGAAACGAATGACCGTTGCGTGACTGCATAATACTCCTGTCCAGGTCTGTGTCACGAATGTAGTTCGTCCACCGCAAACAAANGCACATTGTCCGTCGTGTAGCGCGCTCAACTTGGTCAGCGTACTCAGTACATACAGCAGATCTCCGTATCATTGATTGCCGTCTTTTTCCATTACCCATTTAACCCATCCTTCAGTATGCCAGTCACGGCGATCATTTCAGAGGAAGCTGAAGACAGCATGACATCAGTGTTCAACACCGGTGCTCCGCTGCCGGACTAAAGAGTAAGCTGCTCCTCTTTGAATTTTTAAACTGGATATTCTAATAGGAGTGCACGCAAGGGTCGACCTTTGCTTGGTCGTAATCACAACGAGTGTACAATCCCGTTGCGTAAATCATATCAGACGGCTCCATAAATTGACCCAAATGCGTTGACATTTCCAGTTACAAAGTATAAACTAATGTCAAAATGCCTTGAGCAACGAAACACACGGTACGGACTACTCACATCATTACGCGATTTAGAGCGAGAAGGTTTAGTGGAGGGGAGAAGACAGATATACCTCAACCGATCGCGGTATTCAGACCATCTTGAAACACCTGAAGGGTTTGTACCCCCTCTACATTGCTAAACGTGCGCACCAACCTCCTTCCGAAGGTTGAGCTGATGGGGGCCAGCTGAACTGTTCTTCACTGTTCGGTCCATCCATTAAAACCAGGTTTCCGTAAATGAAATGAAGCTCCATTCATTTCAGAGATCATTTCGCAACATCCACCCTATGGAACTAGTTGATCGGATTAGTTGGAATAAGGCACGGACCTATGCTCTCGGACATTTCGCTACGCTCAGGCGCACCCCCCGTCAATCCTCACTATTTGGAGTTCGTGAATCCGCATTGGCCATCAAGCCATTTCTGGCCGCACAGTATTCCAAGCAGCAACTAGAGCTGCTGATCGCGATGATATCCGGCGTTTATTATTGTGTGCAGGTGATCCTGAAAAGAACACTTCAAACATGGCTATTCCCACATTTTACGAGTAGTCCACCAAGCGAATCGCTACACGTGCCCGCACAATGCTGTGGTCAGAGTCAAGTTGTGTACTCCAAAAGGAACGACAGCCTAAAATTGAAACTATTCACCAGTAGTCGGTTGACACAAGGGCAAACTGACCTCACGACTGATCCAGTTGGTAGCATCCAGGAAACAGGGTGTACGCGCTTGTGTTGATAAAAAAACAAATGATATTCAACGTAACTGAAGGCGCTCGCCATTGTCTGTGCCACGAGCATCGATCCCGAACAGACTGCTGAAATGGGCTTCTTTCGGACCAAGTTAACGAACCTTGGAATTCATATCGCCTACCAGAAGCATGACGCTTGTACCTCCCCCTCGTCGAAGCAACCATGACAGTGCTCGACTGAAGCTGTCCTTCTCAGCCTCGGAATCGCCATCTAGCGGACCGTATGGTGATAAAACAAATAAACTCGGTTTAACGCGCCGGGGTACAATGACCTAAACCGATCTTTTACTGGAATCCAGTCCAATAAAGCATATTCAGCTGTGCGGCCAAGCGCAACTCCCGCCCCGCAGATGGCCGTGGAACCAAGATCACTAAACACCCGAGGAATCTGGGATTATCGAGAACGTTTTGAGGCGCATGAGCGGACTGCCGTTTTGTACGCATTTCAGAGAAAATGTATGTCGGCTGAAAGATAGAATAGGGTCTCACCACAGACAATGAAGGAAGCAGTGTCAAATACAGCCCTGAGCAGAAGCTTAGGCACGCAGAAACGGTTGGGTAATTGTTAGCAAAATTAAAGACTTGGATGTCAAAAGTCAACGCAAGAGTTATAAGGGAAAATAACAGTTCCCAACTGTCCAAATCGAAGAAGGGGTTTCAGTTGAGGTTAAGCTTTTGACTCAGATCTGACTCACAAGGCGGCATGAGAATGCAGAGTTCTTTCTCAGACTCTTTACGGAGCCAATAATTTATCAGTCTAACCTGGCCTGAAGGCGCAGGGAAGAAGGCATCACTGTCTTAGTACCAATGCGGCTGCGCACAGTAGGCATCTTCTGAGTGGCAACTGGACCATTGATTCTAAAAAAAATTCGACCGTACTGAATAATGTACCGACGGCCACTGCGGGATCATTACAGCATTGACGCCCGACCACCATCACAAGGCGACAGCTTCCCCATCTGTAGCCGCGTGGAGAGAATCCCAGCAGTACATCGACAACAGAATTAGTGAGAAAGAGTGAACAGGCCCTAAAACCACCTACGATGTACTCATGAAAGAGGGGAATAAGCTGAGTAAGATATCACTTGTCCACAGATATCTCTGCACCGTTCCTCAAATCATTGAGTCGAAAGTAGTCTACCAGTACTGATCATTTAAACGAATGGAACCGTTTCGGGGTGAAAAAGAGAGGGTCTCAGTCCAAGTCCCAAATAGGTCTCTACGAAACTGACTTTTCTGGCGAACGAGTAATAGCCAAACAGAACTGTGAATGCTCTACCCACCAGGTTTTACGATTCCACGTCAAATGAGATAGAGTCGCTTTCAGACATGCGATGTAGGTGCCTAGCGTAAACATTCTCATTGGCACTCTTAGCGAATTGAGTTTGATTCAAATAATACCATCGAAGATCATCATCATGGACGGTATGATGATGATGATACTATGTAGCTTCTTGTCTCACTGTCACTCACTTTTAGCAACATGGTAAAACCATCGTATTGCAAATTGTACACTGTCGAGAGCTTTCGGGGGTGTGATTACAGCCCTGGACTTTACACGTGCGTTGTTGGCACGACGCAACTACTTGTGCACAAGAGGATGAACTGAAGAGAAACAAACGAAAGCCTTCTATTCTTGGTTATAGCTCCCTGTTCAGAAATTTTTAGGTGACCGCAGCCGTAGCAACTGGAACCAGCGCATCATTAGCACAAGGTCTACAGCTGACAAACTGAAGCTCTCTTTGTACTCTGGTTAACCACCACATACCGCAATTTGCTCGCAACAAGGTGAGGCAATTGTATTTGCTGACCGTTATAACTCAGCCAGCACTCAGTAGATCTGACCAGGCTCTACCAAACCTTTCAGTCCTTCTAAATGGCTCATGGCAAAGACATCACCGAAAGTGACGTGGCCTCAGCGTTAAAAGTGTACTTAATTGCATGTTTGCAAACAGATGGTGGGCGCGTTTCGGAGGAACGATACCTTACTATGGCTGCCTAGTTGTGATAAGGACAGCGGGATCATGACCTCAAGCACGTTTCAGGCTGTAGTCCACACTGACAGAGTTTGCACGTCAAATCGAGACACACCTGGCGCAATCTGATGACCGTCTACTAAGTCCAGCAGCTTTCAGAACATGCTACGCTCCATTTGTTCAGCCGCGCTTGGAGTATGGGAGACCACAATCTACCCAGGTACACAGAGAAGCGCGCACAAAGCAGGCCTACAGGTCTGTTATGTGGGCTGAGGGTATTGTGAAGACAGGTTAAGATAGCTGGACTTACTTCGCTACTACAGGGACAGAGGATATCTGACTACATTTTATCATATCCTCCGTAATAAGCAGACACCAGATTGCCCATGGACTTGCCAGTATATAACGGTTATCAGTTAGGGTGACATCATTTCGCATCCTATAAGCACAGTTCTTAAAAGCTTCCGGCGGCACCATCACATCACGACCTGGCTACCTGTTGCATGAGGAAAACGAAGAATTCAAGTGCAAGTTGGACGAATACTTAAGAGGAGTGCGACGCGGACATCGACCCTCATATCGCTCAAAGAGTTTCTTACTGGTCAGCTGTAGTCTACAATTTTTTGACAGTAGCTTCTGAAGTGCGAACCGATGCACCGTGACTGGCTGAAAGCAGCGAACATTAATATGGGCTCGAAAGATTAGCTTATATATATCAACAAGAATTTAATGAGGATTTGACCGATGGCATAAAGGGCAATTTGCAACTAGAAACCGTTACCTGACAGCCAGGAATCTTCAGCTTCTTTATTCCATATGCATGGTAAAAGGCTATATCCGGGCTTGTTAGAGGAACAGTCAAGACGGAGCAAACATCCTTGAGCTCGTCCAAAGTTTCGCCAAGAGCGCTAAGTCCAAGAACGACGTGGTATATTTTAGCGGGTTCTCGCACGCCACCAGCAGACGCTCGTTGGAAGTAGTTCTTCAGATCCGACTTACACTCAGCACTCAGGTGGGTAGAAAGCGCAGGAGACTGGTTTTGGCTCACACCGGACAGCGGAGAACAACAGAAAATACACGCGAAGAGGACTAGAGAAAGTGAAATACAGGCCATAAAACAAAAATCCGAGGCCTACCCAGAAACCTCATGACGGACAACAGGAGCGCCGCTTAGGTCACGAACTACGTTTGCATTTTCATACATTAAAACAAAACGCCTAGTCTAGGTCAGCCTTGGAACATGTGTGGAAAAATAGGCACCGTAGATTCATACATAGAGTGGTTGCTTCATACTTCACGGAACTCGCCCCTCCATGGGAACATCGGAATTCACGTGCGAGGAAAATGGAGACAGAAATTTGCTCAGGGTTTCTTTGTCCGTCGTAATTCACGGACTCGAGGATTGATACACAGGATCGAGGCTTTTGTCCAAGTTTCCGGGTCGGTTTTGTACTTGTCGTTCAGCGGCTGCCGTTCATCTGAAAAGCACGAGTGGGAAAGGTGTAGCATCGCTCTTAAATGTCTCGACGTTGGGTGGTATGCTTGCCAGCGCGAGGACTCGCATAAACAAGTGTCCAATAGTGCTGTGAACCGGCTTCTAGAAGGAGCGTGGATAACTGGCTGAGGATGGTTATTCCGCGCAGCTACTACGCAAAATGAGAAGAAATATTGCCTAATGAATTTGTGCGCTCTAAGCTTGAAGACCCATGTCCCCGCAATGTGTTTTCTGGGTCAACCGTGAAAAACCTATTGGCCAAACTTTGTTCAAAGAGGGAACAAGTAATAATCAGGTCTGACCTAGGCCCAATAGGGTATTTGCGAGTAATATGGAAGAGGGTGTACGGAATCTTTTGTAGAACGGCGAGTGCGTTTTGGGCCTATTTCTCATTGTCCGGTGAAAAGGACTTGTTTGAAGAGAATCTTTTTGGCATTTGTCCTCGCCATGTCTCCTGGTCTCTTCCCACAATGCATATCAAAGGCATTCGCTGAGTCTCCTCCAAATGACATATCCACAATTCATCATTCAGATGAAGGTGCCGGTCCAACGACCACTGCTCCGTGGTGCCTACATCTATTTGGAGGACACTGGCATTGAAACTGCAGGATTTCAAATCGTCCGCAAAATTAGACATGGACATGCGAGAACATCTGGAAGGTTGTTGACGTAGATCAGAAACAGGAGTGATCGCAAAACGGAGCCTTGTAGAACTCCAATGGAGACCGGCGTCGGAGGAGAGTAGGCAGAATCTATCTTCACTCGGAATGATCTGTCCGATAGGAACGCCTTGATCCATTGTGGGATTTTCCCTTGAATCACGTGGGATCCCGTTTGTGGAACAGCGGAACGTTTGACACCCTATCAAGTGCTTTTGAGAAGTTAGGAAATATGGTATTTCATATGAGTCCCTCGTCCATAAACACGAGCATGATTGTCACGCAAAATCGGTTCGGGAGAAATCCGTGTTGAGCTGGAGATATCAGGTTGTTGGAAGTAAGGTGATCTAGAATAGCTTGCTTCAGAATGCGCTCCGTCACCTTGCATTTCACGCTGGTGCGGCTTATAGCCTGTAGCTCCCAGGTGATAGCCGGTCACCAGTTTTGTAGATTGGCATGACAGTCGCTTCCTTCTAAGCGGGGGCAAGGCGGCCTTCGTCAAGCGACTGAAGCAGCACGTGGTTTAAATGATTTTCCGGTGTAGACGAAGTTTCCTTAAAGATCCTTGGATGGACCTCGCCGGTGCCCAACACGGAGAGTGGGTTGATCTTGTGCAAGAGTTGACGAATGCCCTCCACCGTGAAGACCAAGCCGGTTAGTTCGTAGTTACGCCTTGACAGAGTGGATGTGACGAGGAAGCTGGGACCGAATATAGAGTTCAGATACCACTGTTGGGTGACTGTTAAGTACCTTGTTCCTGTCTTTCAAAAACCAAAGCGGGCATAGCTTGTTTCTGCGGTGATGTCTCATGCATATGAACAGCACATTTCTGTTTTCGGAGCAAGGCCTGGGATGGTGGCTTGTTTTCGTATGTTTCATTTGCGGATTTCCGATTTACAGCGGTTCCACATTTTACTAAATGGCGGCTCATCTTCCGTGCCCCCTCTATTCAAATTTGTGGCCAAAAGTTGACTTCGGGAGACGCGGAAGATGTGCTAGAATTTCGGAACCGCTGTTATTCAAAAATCCGCAAACATACTATAAACTGCTGTTTAAAGCCTCTAATCAGTGAAGCCAAAATCGATCGTACAACAATCGATTATTTCTGTGATGAGTTTTGCTGTGATTTGTGAGCTGGAAATGTTTGGGATGTTTGTAGGGCACCATGATCATCCAAGTCCTGCCTCGAGCGTTTTCTGAATTCGACTGCCCTTCGCTTTAGGTTATTTGCTCATACGCGCCATCTTGGCATTTGACTGCGTGAGGCTGGACCCTAAATCCACTCTCGTGAATACGTCGTTTCCTGCGTCGCCATCTGCAGCTAATGGCTTGCGTTCGCGACTGTTTGCGGTACAAATTTTATTCCTCTTGATGAGTTTTTGGATTGATGCACAGGATCGTCGCTTTTGCTAAAGCTTTTTTGGTTAGAGTTTTCTCTGTCTCTTAAGTGGCTCCCACTCACCCGAAGGCCCAAGCGACAAAATAATCATCCGCTGGCAAGTGCAATCTACAATCCGACGTTTTTCTGTGGTAATCTATGAACATACGCCGTCCACTACAATCAGGAACTTCTCGGCCCTTGGACGCAGAATCGTGGATTAGCAGGTGCTGAATGCCTGGATCAGACAAGACTGGTGAAAGGTGAACGGCGCTGCACTTTTTTGTTCAGCATTTTTGAATATGCTCTTTTAACGCGGGCAAAGATATGTAAAAAACAGAGGAGCGTCTAATTCTTTGAATTATAAATCCCAAAGAGGTGTTTGCGGTAGCATTAGGCTACAAAAGCCGGTAGTTGAATTGGTTCAGAATATCCATTCGTTCTAAATGGCGGGCAGGTGCCATGCAATTAAGATTTTCTGTTGGCTATTAAGCGTTTTGAGGAAAACATCCAACAGTTACGCTTTTCATCTGCCGCGCGCCAACCAGTCACTCAAATACATAACTTCACAACCAGAATAAGGGTGAAGGTAGGTTTCAGTTTTTTTCCTCTCCTCAACAAACGTAGTACTGTGAGCACTATAATAAAGCAATATCCTAGGACTACACCAGCTTGCATACACCGGTTTAGGGACTGCGAATTCCTAACGGGTTCTCAATGACCCAACCAAGGTGAGGCAATGTGACATGCGAAAGCCACCTTTGTTTAAACAACACGTGCGACGTGTATTCGGGGTGCACGAGAAAGAAAGAACCGTATAGGCCCAAAACGGAAACCAGAAAAAGGGAAAAGGTGTTTCACACAATAGGAAAAGAAGTAACGATTCAGGAACGAGCTAATGGAAATGTTTATGCAGACTACTCATGGCCTGCAGGAGCGGGTTGTGTACTCAAGTTCAATTTTGGCTTTTCTTCTGGCCATTGTGTTGTTGGCGAGCGTGGTGTCGCGTGGCGATGAGTTGGTGGTTGTGCGTTGAGTAGTCTTGCATGTATGTTAATATACGTGATGCTAGCCAGGTGTTGACCTTTGATCACGATTAGTTGTTCGGTCGGTCAATTCTACTGGTCGCTCCGTTATCCCGTGTTCTCATTCGCTAATGCTGACGTGACCTTTGAGGTTGGTATCCCCTACCGTCGTACTCTGATCGCCGCTGCAATCACCTTTGTCCTTGCCACTCCCCAGTTCCGACTTGCTACCTTTATTGGTTTTACACCAAGGGGTGTCCACATTTTGTTTGTCGCAATATTCGGTTCTCCTTGAGTACTCCTGTCGTGAAGTTGGTCTTTTGCACGTGGATCCAGTTCAAATCATCCATAGGGCTCCGTGCTTCCAGAAATTACTTTCCGTGTCTCGTGTCTCCATTTGCCGAAAGTTCTGCGTTTTTCAGATTGGCCTCGGTGTCTGGATATCAAGAACGGGGATCATGTCCCCTGATGTCCGCGTTGTGTTCTGTTACTCGAGTAGACAATTTCCTATAAGCTCGCCCAACGTAGAATTTGCTGCAGTTTATTTGGTATATCACATTGTTCCTATTTGTTTTGCCTCGATTGACTTTCGGACTTGAGATTATTTTTCCTAGAGTAGCGTTTAGTTCATGGTGCCCCGCTTTCTGCACCGTAACCCGAACGCTGTGTTCACAACCACCACGGCACGTCCCAGCATCTTATTTTTGCAGGTATTTAACAAGCCTCACCTCATCCAGAGTTACAGAACCCCTGATTACTCTGTCCCTAGTCCATTGCATGTTAAACACCCCAGGCATACCAACTTTTTACTAGCGACCCTACCTACCTCCTCTGATCCTGCAATTAATACTTCCCCCTTCTAATCAACAGCCGCTCGCTCCTACCCGAATTGTGCCACATACAAGAAATCTCCATCATAGCTTGTCGAACCTTCATATACATCACTGAGACATGGCTCTCTTCTAATACGCCTGATGCTTTTATCTTCCTTCCAGGATACACTATCCTCCGTTCCGATCGTTCTCACTGCCATGGTAGTTGTTGTAGAAGACAGCTTGCCAACAGTGTGCTCCCGTTTCCAACCCCAAGTTACAGCCAATCTACATAATTATTCCCCTTGACCAGATGAACTGAAACCTTCTTGTTTTACTGAACTATTTTTATAACTCTTACGGACTTTGGTCGGACATTGTGATTTTGTGGTTGCTCGCCGTCGATATCTGTTTGGTTGTGACGATATCGATTTTGAGGCGTAGTGATCTGCGCTTTATCCTCAGGCTGGTAATTGTACCGCCTTATTTTTGTAACCGTACGTTATCTGCAGAGGAGAATCCGTTGAGGTCTGTTGAATATGTATATTGTTATATTTCTTGGTCTTTTTCCTGGGTTGGCACGCGTGACTCAAACTCAGAAAGCAGATAGCCGTAACAGTACTCAACGGGCTCAGCACTCAACGGTTGCAGTACTCAACGGAGTACGGATCTAGTACGCAACGATTAAACTCAGAAAGCAGATAGCCGTAACAGTGGTCGCTTCGTATACTACAGAACCGAAGCA